ATGGGATTTCCTTTGCGGATCAGGGTATTTCTACAAACAACTTATTCTCCGAAAAATTATAACCAAGTGGGCTGTTTGAGAAATTTTTAAATACTCCTTGTTATTCGATGGAAACACCTTTACTTGTTTCCATTTTGAAATAATTCTTGACAAGGTGGTGATTATATTTTCCTATTTTCCTATTCCTAAGTTTATCTTGTGGTCCGAAAAAATCCACTGGTTGATCTTAACTGAAGCCTTTCCGTTAAAGCACCTACAAACCTTAACAGATTTTAACAGAGGGAATTTAAAATAAACGTCAAATCTGACCGGAAGCGGCAATCGCATGTTTCGTTATGGAGGGCTTCACTGACAGTCCTCCCCGTAAGCCAGTTTAAACTTCTTGAAGGCCTAGAGATGAACCAGTGGATATTTTTGCGAATGGAAAGAACGTTGAAACAGTGAAAATCTTAGTCCGAGAATCTAATCAATCAAATCTTGTGTCTCCAGAGCCACGTTTTCTTCTTGCCAAGGCCCCATAAGCTAAGAGGGACTGTGGGCTCTGTGGACGAGAATATTGTAGTACTGAGTTAATTTCTTTTTCAAAACAAAATTGTGCTACTGTGTATGTTGTCAAGCTGGGATGTTAAAGTCGTGAATATCTCGTACAGGTAGTATTCTTTTCTGTAAGATGGATGGGAACGGTGTTGTGCACGCCCAATGCAACCATAGTTTTGCAACTTGGCGCAGGATCACACAAGCGGGAAAAAATCTCGATTCTGTGGACGGACAGGCGGGCAAGGGGGAAAGAAGCGCACCCGTCTAAACAACAAATGAAGCAATGCAATGTTTTTTTAAACTGTTCATAGTTGTCATATAACGAAGCCTTGTCAGGGAGTTGTGTACTACTCCTGAAGCGTACAGAAAGCCCGATGTTCGAGTTACAACAAGGCGAAATATGGCGTGTACTATCGTTAAGCAACCACAATTACATTGGAAAAATTCAAACACACTTACTGGACGCCGATTACTCCTAGTACTGGTATATATATGCCTTTCAATTCAGTGTCAAATGTGTTTACTTTAATAGGTCAAAGAAAAGATCAAAGGTGATAATGGACTTAAAGGACCGCTGAAAAGTGTGACACCGAAAAACTGCGAGTATGATATCCTCTTTATCTTATTTTTGTTAATCGTTACAAGTTGAGTGCTGATTATTCTAAAGTAAGAAGAACCCGAAAAGTCCGGGTATAAAGTATAATTCTTAATTTGACCACTTGGATCAAAAGGTAAAAACGCTAGATCTGGGTTAGCTAAATTAGGTTTTGAACATTTAAGCCGAATCCTCTGGTAAGAAATATAGCAACTGATAGTGTGTGCTGGGAAAATCTTGCTTAAAACTGCAAAGTGTGATTACCATTATCATTAATCAAGGGAAGGACAGCCTTCTGAAGCTATGTCATCGATCAACCAATACCAATCGATATCAGTCAACTAACGGTTATCAATTATTTATTTTATTATATGGCTAAACAGGCCCGCGATGAAAAGGAGGATTCTGATTGAATCCTTTAGCGGTTAGAATTTTGCAATACGGACAGCCAAGACCGACCGCTCACGAATTAATTTCGGCGAATTGCTTTTTCAATTCATTGCACAAAATGAATAATTTTTTGTTGAGTAGAAATCTTTTTTACCTTCATGTGTGGAGGAACTCGCGCTTGTTCAATACCATATATTTATTGTTGGACTGATTTCCAATCATCGAATTTAAGCGATTGGTCAGTGCAGAGGAAAATATCTTCTAATTATCAGTTTCCATTGCTTTCAGATATAAGGTAGTAAGGATTTTAATACAGACTAGCTGCAGATGATGTGTATTACCAGCATTAGATGAATTGCAAAATACTCGTTTGTTGTTTCCAGTTATATTATGAGAAAGTTGTTTAAATTTATAAAGGTTAACCGTTGTAAGGAGTTTGTGAAGCTGACAATTTGAAGTTGATAAATAGCTAAGTGTTTCTTTTGCCGAGGACGCAGCCCAACAGTTTCAATAGAATATATGGCCTTTGTTTATTCAATTTGTTTAAAGCAT